TGACTCTGTTGGAATCCGAGGCGGCCGGGTGTTCCCAGGGGTCGTGTCGCCAGCGGGTTGTGTCGGACGGTCGGCAAAGTCCTCTCTCTGTTCTCCCTGCCCCTCACCCTGCGACTCGCGACTAGCATCGCATTCTTCCCGGTGGAAGCGACTGACCGTCGCAGAGCCCGATGGAATCCGAGGCGGTCGGGTGCGCCAAGAGGTCGCGTTGCCAGTGGGTCGTGCTGGACGGTCGGCAAGGCCCTCCCTGACTTCTTCCTGATCCTCCTCCTGCGATTCGCGACCATCTTCGCGCTCTTCCAGGTGGAGGCGACCCATTTCGCAATCTCCCCGGCGCAGGCGACTGACTGTCGCACCTCGAGGAATCATGGGCAGGGAGGGATGAGAAAAGTCAGTCCCAGGGGAAACGCCCTGCGCAGGCGGGGCGTCAGCCCACCCGTCGGTGCGCTGGGTCTGCGTCGCGGCCATGTCGCCGGGCAGCTTTGTTGGACAGCCGCGCAAGCCAGGCGGTTCCAGAAGAGCGTCGACACAGGTTCCCTGTTCAGTTGCAGCCTGCTGGCCCAGTGCTGTAGCAAGACGCATGCGATGACCAGGTCGTAAGCCGATGTCGCGCATGTGTCGATCACTCACAAGCCGTACCTCAGCAATGCGCTCAAAGCCATGTTCAGCGAAGCCCGACGCATACATCCCAAGACCATGCTAACACAGAAAAGCGACGACCTCGGGCCCGCAATCTGTGGTAGGGTCGTTTGCGGGCGGGGCCGCCGAAGCGTCACATTTTGGTCCAGACGGAGAGGTATCTTGTTTTGCTCGCTGACGAGCCGCGCGCTGTCTCGCGCGGCGGGCTGCCCAGATTGTGATGTAGGCGAATTCGCGGCCATGCTGACTATGCCAATCCAGGCTGTGCCAACGTCGCTGAGTATCACGTGGGGGACCATGCTGACTGTGCCAACCTTGACTGACTGTGCCAACCACGTGGGTCCTGCCACTTTGACCAGGCCCCGCCAGACAGCCACGCGCTCATCACGGAAATGTGGAAGGGGAACAGCGAGACAAGAGAAGGGAGGGAACGGGCGGAGGCCTCCTGACGGTACGCAGCTTGGGCCAGAGCGGCTTAGCCAGCGGCTACGGACGCTCGTGGGGGTACTTTTTGGCCCGCGGGCTTGCGAAGCAGGTCGAAAGCCGTCCAAACACGAGTCGGGCCGCGACTAGGCAGAAAACTCGTGGGGATACGCGAAGCGTGAAGAACTGGCAAGCTAGCCCTCGAGCAAACAGGTTCCTTCTTCCCCCCATTCATATCCTCCCGTTTTCCCGTCCCTTGTCCTCAACCGTCATTACTGTACGTTCCTTCCCTTCCCCGTTCTTTCCCATCCACCATCCTTATAAGTCGCTGCCCCTTTTCAGACCACCAGACGCGTCGTCATGCCGTGAGGGCGGATTGGGCGTCTCGCCTGAGAGTTTCTTACGGTCTACGGCTTTAGATTTGAAAAGTCCGACCGATACACCTCTACGCGGATGTAGGCCGGGTCGTTTTCAAATGTTGGTTCTCGCTTCGGCGCCGCGTGCATTCGTCTGAACGGCTCAAATTGTGAAATGATGGAGGGCGGATCGATATTAGAATTGGGTTCCCGCCTTGGCGCCGTGCGCGCTCGTTTCAAACAGCGCGGATCCTTTTGCAAGTGGTGCCCTCGCCAGAGGCTCCCGCAGCAAATATCAGAATGAATATCAAGTTCGGCAAAAGCTACACGGATGGAGGGCGGCTCCTTATCAAATTCAGGTTATGGCCCATGCTTGTTTCGGTTTAGTGACCAGGCGTTGAATATCGCGTCGCGTACACCAGAAAAGGGAACGGATTCCTTTCAAAACGACTTTGTGTTTGGGCACTTCTTTAAATTGGAACGGCAAATGGTAAGGGGGCGTGGGACGGGAGGGTGTATTGCAAAACCTCCTCATCATCCTGCTCTTCTCTTCTCGTCCTTCTCTTCCTCTTCTTCTTCCTTTTCTTCTTCCTCCTCCATTCTCTTGCGCCCTTATCACGTTTCCTTCCCCCTCCTTCCCTCCCTCCGTGCATGTCATCGCCCGCCTCCACCTCCTGCTCCTCCCACCTCCTCCTCCCCTTCTTTTCTTCCCGTCTCCTCCAACCTCCCCGCGTTTCCTCATCCTTCCCCCCCTTCCTCCCCTCGTACCCTCGTCCTTCTCCTGCTCCTCCTCTTCATGTTCCTCCTTATCCTCTTCCACAGATATTTTTCAGCGGCAGCGGCCCGCTCCTCGGGGCGCCGCTTACTTGAGATGAGATGAGTTGTGGTGTACTGGGTTGTTGTGCGGCTTCGACAAGGATCGGAACCACTAATTACATGAAGACGTGAGGTAGGCTGACGCCTTGGCCGCGCCCCCGTGCTGGCGCCATGGACGGCGCATCAGCCTTACTGGCTCGCCGCAGGAGCTAACTAGAACGGGGGTAGGAATACATGTCCAGACTAACTTCTGAAGGATTTAGCTTGATTGGGAAGTGTGAGAGAGAGAGCCCTCCCTCTCCCTACTCACATCTCATCCTCGTGCTCTTCCTGCCCCCTCTCCCCCCCAGACATCCGATGTCTTGATATGTCTCAACGGAATACGCGGAGGTCCCGTCCCTCTTCCCAGGGCCAGGCTTCGCTTCCCGAGGCGTGTTTTGACGAGCCCGAGAGGGCCATGCGTGGGCCCCCGAGGGCCGGGAATCCTCAAAAACCTTGCGTCGTGACTTTCGTTTCTCGACGCGATCATGTCTGGGTTCATCTCCCCCCCTCCGGTGCTCACCGCCAGGCACCGCCCCGCGGCCGCGATCCGCCGCGGCTGGGGCGCCCGGCGCCGCCGAGGCGGCCCTTCGCCTCGGGCGCGCGCTGCGGCGGCAGAGGCGCGCCCCCCGCGGCGGGCGAGCGGCGAGCGGTGGCGGGCGACGAAAGGGCGGCGAGCGAGCGACGAGCGAGCGACGAGCGACCAGCGAGCGACGAGCGAGCGACGGCGACGACAAGCGAGCGGCGAGCGACGGCGGCCGCCGACGACGGCGGGCGACGACGGCGAGCGACGACGGCGGCCCCGGCGGCAGACATCGGCGAGCGGTGAGCATCTATCTGGACGTGGGCCGGTGGAGACAACGGCGGCCCTGCCTGTGTTGTTTCGTTTTTGGGGGGCGCTTGGAGGCTTCCGGTCACCATGGCTAGATCCGCTTCGACATGCTGGTCAGGACGACCCCTTGGTGGTCTCCAAACCAGGTGGTGAGACACCCAGTGGTGACCCCGATTCCCCAAAAAAATAATTCTGGGTCACCACCGGGTTTGGGGACACGCGGTCGCCACGAGGTTTGGCGTTTCCTGGGCCAGCCAGCGCTCGAAAACCATTACCCAAATCGCCCAAAACTCACCACCGGGTGTTCTCACCACCACGTTTGGGGACCACCAAGACCCCAGGTGGGGCCAGAGACTGGTTTTGAGCGGATCCTGGGCCAGACGCGGTAGAGCCGCCGTTGTCAGTTAGCCATCCGAGACTCACGGTGGCGATGACGGGCGGCGACTGACCACGGCGAGCGAAGCTGACGAGCGACGGCGAAAGGATTGGAATTGTCGTCACGATTCGTCCCATCCTTGCCCTATCAATTTCGATCGTCTGGTCGACAGCATCATCTCAAAGTTGGCCGAGGAAGCTCTAGAGGATTCTGGAGAGCCCCAAGGGGGACCCCAGGGGGCGCTGCTGGAGGGGACCGCACCAGACAGGGGAGGCCGGTTTCGACGGTCCATGGCGCCAGTTTCAATTCTCGGAAGGGTAATGATAAGAGCAGGAAGACGAGCAGGAGGACGACGCTCACGACTACAGCAGGCACGAGCTGATGAGCGGCTAGGCTAGGACGGCGACGAGACGGAGGCGGTGCAGACTCCCCGCTCCCCCCGGTGTTATGTCATGCCGTCCGCAGGTGTCGGCCCGTGCTGGGCTTCCAGGTGGCACCGCCTCGGGCTTAGGCCACCGTGTTGGCAGTGCGACTCGGTGGTAGAGTGAACGATTGGCTGCAGGCGCATTGAGGGTGTTGCTTGCATTCTCAGGTTGGCACTTGAATGAACATCGGAAGCGAATTTGACGCGCACGATTTCCTCAGGAGAGCCACTGGGGACTCCTCGCCACCAAAGCTTGGGATTGGACTCGCTTCGAAAAGCTGGCTGTTCACAGACGAGGGGCATCGCATGGGGACAAGCACCTTCTCCAGAGCGCGCCCTCCCACCTGGAGTGTGCACGGACGGCTGTCCGAACATGAGCCCAAGCGGGCAGTGCAGCGGCTCGTGGAGCCCCAGCATGCCCCGGCACCTCTTGCACTGCTCCCGAAAGCGCTGCGAGCAGACCTCCTCTACGGCGCATGGGCCTTCGAAGGAATCCGGCCGGGCGGATCGAGGGGGCCTTGGCACGACCGCGGCCGCGCGGATCGGGCTTACCCCGTCCACCGACCTCGGCCGCGTGGCCCTCCCGATGCCGGGCCTCTGGCTTTCCAGCGATGCCCCAGCAGGCCACCTCCGAGCCGGCAGAGGCGCGCCCCACTGCCCGTCGGGCCAGCGGCACACGGCAGGCTCGCGCACGCGGAAGCGACGCGGAGGCGACGTTGGTCGTGCCGACGCAGCCGAGCTTTGGGCGCGCGCTGCTTTCGAGCGCGGCGCTTCGATTCGATCGTCGTCTCAGGCTGTCGAGCCGACCGGCAGCCCGCGGCGGGGGGGCGACGGACGAGGAACGAGGAGCGCTCTCCGGCGGGCGAGGCCCTGGCGTATCCCTGATCCTGGCACGCCTCGAACACATGCGTGTCTGTTACCACACGGTCTCGCTCAGAAGAATTCTTGTCAAGGCGAGATGACCCACGTGTCCTCCGCAGCAGGCCACCGTTCTTGGAAGGGGCCCGCAACAGGCCCCACCAGGCCCACAGCATGGCCGGGAAGGCCCCACCCAGATGGCCACTCGATGCCCCTCCCCTGATGTGCTGCTGCTTCTGCCCAAGCCAGCAGGGCTCACGTACGATTGCTTCTGCACTCCCAGTGATTATTCCGCGCGTCGTATACCCATTTTATCTCGTGGCCTTCGGCCGATCCCGACCACGTGCCTGGGTACTCGGCGCTTGCCGCAGTGTGAAGATGGTCGCCAGTACTACGCCTTCTGGATGTGTGCCTCTTGGGATTACTTGAGGCCTACTTGGGGCATCCTGGGGGCCTCGGTGGGGTCTGGGGCAAGGGTTGGTGGGGAGGCGTCCGCTCTGGCGGAAGCGCCTGTTTGAGGTCCCTCGTTGGGCCTTCTTGCGGGGGGAGGATGCTTTTGGACCCCTCGTGGGGGCTTCGGGGTGCAGTGGTATGGTAGTCTGTGGGGTTGCTTGGTTCGCCTCGGACGCTCTCAAAGCCGAAGAGGCGAGAAGACAAAGCGCATACCAGAAGAACGAGCTCTCTGCGTTTGGTGGTAAGCGTGCAGGGCGGCGCCACCTCCACCGACAGCCCCAAATCGATCCCCGCCTCTGGCAAACGTGGCCGCGCGACGTCGACCCCGGTCGGCTCATGCCACCCGCCGCAAAAGCCAGAACCCCTTGGGCCTACGGTCGCGGACGTGTTGACACTGACCCCAGTCTGGGGAGACCCCCCCCACGAGGGGGGAGGGAACAGGAGAGGAGAGAAGAAGGACGAGAGGAGGAAGAGTGGACGAGGACGAGGAGAAGGAGGAGGAGGAGGAGGAGGAGGAGGAGGAGGAGGAGGAAGACCGTTTCTTTTCCAACGCAGGGTCGGTGCCCAAAGAGCCCCCAAAGGGCGCACAAGAGACGGCCCAAAGAGGCCCCCCCAAGAGGCGGCTCCAGGACGAGCCCCGCAGACCATCTTGCGGCATGCTGGAGGCCTGGAGTCTGAGTTTCGCTCCCGATGCTTTCGGTAAAGGTCACGCGGCGCCGCCGGGAAGAAGCGCCCACGAGTTCCGTAGATCGGGGGCGCCTCCGAAGAGCATCATCTGACGGGATGCTGGAGGCCTGGTATCGGAGGTTCGCTCCAGATTCCTCTGGACGGGTCGTGCGACGCCCCCCAGAAGCGACCAAGAGCGCCCAAGAGTTCTGTCAATCAGGGGCCCCTCCGAGGAGCACCATTTACAGTCTCGTTGCGCTGCTGTGCGAATCCGCCACCGCGCTCTGGCAGGCGCCCAAGGGAGAGGTAGAGGGGGAGGGGTTGGGGGGTCTGGGGATGGTGGGCAGGCGGGGGGAGATCGAACTTTGATATTGACATAGTTGTTCTCCGATTCGGGAGGCAGAACATGCCGGCACGTTGCCCAACAGTGGTCGCGTGTTGCCAATTTACATACTGCATCGCAAGAAGCGGACTTCACAACAACATACAACAGCAAGGGCCCGACACACACCAAACCCGTTGCTACCAGCGCGGCTTCGGATATTGAGTATTCAGGATTATGTCGGGCCTGAGGATATTGCATTCAGTGCCTGCGGCACGGAGGCGGATGTATCCACCGATGGTCCTACGAGCGCTCGCTCTAGTGGTGGCGCCCGCATGCGCAGACGCGCTCGCTGCCAGGGTCCACGACTGGGGCAGGTGTGAATCGCTTTCGGCTGCTTCGCAACGCGCGAAGTGCGGGGACGAGTCCAGAGACTGCGCTGCCCTGGCGGAAAGAGGCCTATGCATGTCGGATCCGGAGTACATGGACTCCCGCTGCAGGAAGACTTGCGGGCGCTGCTCTTCCGCTGCGGCGGCCTCGGCCTGCGACGGCAATTCCACCTGTTGCAGGAGCGCGTTCAGCAACACGGGCATGGGGTGCTGCCCCTTCCGCGACGGGGTCTGCTGCAACACGTTCTCCTGCTGCCCCGCGGGCACGAGGTGCTTGGAGGAGGAGGCCACCCTGACTAACTCAGGGCACAGGCAGATGATCGGTACAACGTGCGTGGCTGTGGACAGTGGCGCCAGGTCAATGGGCCTTGGAATCTGCACGCCAGGCCCAGCTCTGGCCATGTCCAAGAGGCGGAAGAACTGCCTGATCTTGGGCGACTCCGTGTCCATCGGGTGCTCGCAGGCGTTGGCTCAGCTACTGGACGGTGTAGACGGCGGCTGCATGGTACCCATGCTCCGGAATCCGCTGGTCCTGGAGTCTCAGAGACCAACTATGGAGCTCGATGCCTGGAACATTTTCTCAGGTCTGCAGACGGCACCGACATTATGCCCAGGGTCGATCTCATATTTTTCAATTGGGGTCTGCACAATACTGCAGGCACGTACGTTCCCGGGAGGCAGGACACTGCGGAGAGATATATGCCGAATTTGGAGAAGATTGTGGACCGCTTGGTCGAGCTCAGATCCCAGTACGGTACCAAGCTCCTCTTCGGGACAACGACCCCGCACTTTTGCAACCAGCACGTGGAAGAAATCGTGAAGCTCCAGGTCGAGCAGTCCACGGAGCTGATGACAGACAACTCGATCCCGGTCGTCGACCTCCACGCGGCCATCGTGGATGAGTGCGGCGCGCCGCCGCAGGAGACCTGCCTGAACCTGTCCCAGGGAGGCTGCCCTCACTACAGCGAGGCGGGGTACGAGTGGATCGCCAACCGAGCAGTCGGCCCCACCATCCTGGCAGCTCTGGCCGAGGAGGTGCATCGGCCCCTGGAGCACGCGGCAGCGGAACCAGCGACCAGTCTGGAGCGCACCGCGGCTGCGCTGGAGCGTGCCGCGACGAAGCCAAAGACCGTGTCGGAGACCCCTGTGGCAGAGCCTGAGCCCGCCGCGTGGGTGCCAGCGGCCACGCTGGATCCCGCCGCGGCAAAGCCAGAGCCTGCCGCGATGGAGCCGACGGCCACGCTGGAGCCAGCTACAGCAGCGCTTGAGCCCGCCAACTCGGAGCCAGCAGCGGCCGCGCTGGAGGCCGCAGCGGCCGCGTCGGTGTAGGAGCTTCGTCGCGGCAGCACCTGCGAGTCAGGGGCAACGTCTGGGGGGGGGATGGGCTCAGGGAGGAAGCATTGAGCTGGAATCGGCGATTGGCCCCCGACGGCGAATCCGGACGCTCCTGGGCGGAGTGGGCTATCGGGCCCCATATCGGCGATGCATCGCCGATTCCGGCTCGATGTTTCTTCACCGGAGCTGCTTCCCCCTCACGTTGCCCCTCAGCGGGGGGCCGGGCAGGCCTCGCCCTGCTCGACCCCAGATCTGCCCTGCACACGCGTGGGGCTGCTGTCTGCCCAGTGCGGTGCGGCTTCTTCTCGTCTCTGCCACGAGCTCGACGACCCTGGCTCACCCACGGCAGTGCTCGGGCCAGCAGCGGCGGCGCGCACGAGGGCGCAGGGAGGCCCCAGGCGTCCGTCTGCTCGGAGCAGCCGGGGCGGCCGGCTTGCCCCCCCGAACTCTCAGGCTTCTGGAGCCCGGGCCCCGGCACCATCAAGCGGCGGCGAGCGAGGGGGGGAGGTGAGAAGGGGCGGGCCTTCTCAGAAAGCTCGGAAGCCCCCCGGCCTCTGGAGAAGTTTTCTGAGCCTCTCCCGGAGGCACTGGAAGCGTCATTCGAAGGCGCGAGGGCTTCTGTGAAGGCCAAGCCGCCTCCCGAGAAGGCCTTCTCCTGCTCAGTTGCCTCCCTCGCTCGCCGCCACATCAGGCAAGAAGTGACTCCGGACGGAACGCCAGCTCAGAGGGAACGTCTCGACAGGTCTTGGGGTCTGTGTGCGTTTCTCTTGTCAAAGCACGCGCCGCTTGGTGCCTGGAGGTAGGGTCGGGCTGGACGAAAGGGGGGGATTGGGAAGGGGGGGGGGCGAAATCTGCTGCATGCAGCTGGTTTCGGCCCCACCGAGGGGCCCATTCCTCGATACATGGCCGCCTCCGGCGCCCGGAGGCGCCAGGAAAATCACGTGAGCTGGCTCGACCAACAAAGTGGCCCCGAGATTCCGAGGAGGGAGGAGGAGAGAGGAGGAGGGGGAGGGGGAAGGGGAGGAGGAGGACTAGGGGCCCCAAGAGGTGCGATTCTCAACCCCACGCTCTGCTATCCCCCCCTCTCGCCCGACCCGATAGGGGGGGCGGCCTTCCCAGAGGGCCGGGGCCTGTCCAGAGGGGGCCGCCCCCTGCCGCAGAAGCGCCAGGTGCGCCCGGCGCCAGCCGAGACCACGAGGTCCGGCGTCACGGAAAGTTGCAGCAGGGCGTAGAAATCTGCAGTCCAGCTACCCAGAGATCCAACGTATTGAAAAAATCAAGACGGAGGTTTTTCTCCATTTTCTGCCTCTAGGGGCCCTCGCCGGGCCCCGGGACCGTCAAAAAACGACTCAGGATGAAAAACCGGTCCTGGGGAATGGGTCAAGACTTCGGGGGACCGCGTATTGAAAAAATCACGACATCGGATCTCTGGGTAGATTGTTTCGCGCGGCGCATTCCAGCAGGCGCGGTGTGCCGTTTGTCGCAGAGTGCGCGCCCATGCCACGACCTCGGCACTGCACTGAGTAGAGACTTGAGACTTGAGGGATGGTGTTCATCGGCTGCCCGCGTCCCCTTCCGTCCCCCATTCCCCCCTCTCCAAAATATGCGCTGGAGAAAAAAAACGAAAAGTTGCAGCAGGGCAGAAAAATAACACGACCGGAGCTCGAAGAATAATCACGTCATAAACATAATGTTTTGGCGCTCCGCGCGGATTTCTCGGATCCGCGCTGGGCCCCCCCGGCGGCGCCTTCGGCGCCGCCCTAGGCGCGCTCCGCGCGCCAGGGAGGGGGGTCCTGCGCAGATCTAAGAAATCCGCGCGCAGCGGCAACATGTATGTTTATGTAGCTGTTTCTTCTTCCAGGAGCCCCAGAGCCCATCTTTCTGTGGCAGGTTTCGGCCCGCGTCGACCTGCGAGGGCCCCGGGAACCGAAAGAGGCCGAAGCCGCCCGTCGGAAGAAAGGGCGGCGCCGGGAGCTCATGGGAAGCGAGCGGCATCTTCAGAAGGCCGCCCACCCCCCTCGCCCTCGCCCGTCTCTGCCCTCCTCCTCCTCCTCCTCCTCCTCCTCCTCCTCCTCCTCCTCCTCCTCCTCCTCCTCCTCCCTCCTCCTCCTCCTCCTCCTCCTCCTCCTCCTCCTCCTCCTCCTCCTCCTCCTCCTCCTCCTCCTCCTCCTCCTCCCCTCCTCCTCCTCCTCCTCCTCCTCCTCCTCCTCCTCCTCCTCCTCCTCCTCCTCCTCCTCCTCCTCGCCGCCGCGGCGCCTCCTGCAGAGGCCTGCCCAAGGCCGCCCTCTCCCCGACCGCTCCACGGGGGGTTGGCCTCGAGCAGCGCCGGGGGGGTCACCACGCGGGGAGGCCCGGGGCCGAGCACGGACAGCCCCACGAGGTAGCAGCGCCTGGCCTCGACAGGCCCCCGAGCAGCCCAGGGCCGGTCCTGCTGCGGTCGGGCGGGGCCACCTCGGGGGGCTGCCGGCGCAGTGCCCTCCCCACCGAGGGGGGAGGTCGCTGCCTCCCCCTGAGGATCGAGGCGGAGGGAGGCTCGAGGATCGAGGCGGTCTGGGAAGTCTTCGGGGGGTATTTTTTGTCAGGGGGGGGGGGCCCAGACGGCCCAGGGGGACCCGCTCCCTGGAGAGCCTGTCGACCCCCTCGGTGGTGACTCCCCTGGCATGGCCTGGGAGCCGGCGAGCTCTGCAGTGCCTCTCCAGGCAGCGCCGGGCATGCGCTCTCAAGCCCCGCGCAGAGGCGTGCGGGGCCACCTCGGGCGCGGGCGGGGCGTTCTCGGGCAGGGCGTGCCGCTGGTGGGCAAATTGCTTGAGTCGCTCGATCTCGGCGTGCCGATTGGGCATGCTGGCACGATCGCTGCGCAGCGGCTGTGCGCCTGGAGGCTCCCAGGGCGCCCGGGCGCCAGGAGGGCGCTCCCGGCTCGCAGGCGCTCGCAGGGCACGGAGCCCTGCTCCGTTCGAGCCGCGGTGGCGAGGGCGGCGCCCTGACTCAAGTCGTCCAGCCAGAACGGCTGTGGACTTGGCTGCGCCCTCGGCCTGAGAAGCGGTCGGGGCTGGAGGTTCTCGGAGGTTTTCCTTGCTCTCTCTCTCTCTCTCTCTCGCGCCTCCGTAGAGCCCTCCTGGGGACGTCGAGGGACCCTCAGAGGCCCCGCGCCGGGACCCCGGAGACTTCACACGGGAGGCTTCAGGAGACCTCCGGGCGGAGTGTTGGCAGAAGGTCTCCTCCCCCCCCCCCTCCCCGGATTTCCTGTCCTTTTTCTGTGGCCTATGGATCGTGCCTGCGTCTTTGGGTGTCCCTCGGGCTTGGTCAACGCGTTTCCCGATGTTTTTTGGGCCGCTTCTGTTATGCCTGCCGTTGGCTTCGACAGGGGCCGCCACGCACCCAGGGCTTTCTGCCCAAGGTCTAAAGGGTCGGAGGAGGAGGGAGGGGAGCGGGGCGAGAGCGAGGAGGAGAAGAGGAGGGAGGGAGGGAGTTAGGGTTAGAGAGAGAGAGAGAGAGAGACTAAGAAGAGCAACAGGATGAAGACGACGGGCAGGATCGGTAGCTGTTCTCATTCTCCCTCTCTGCCTACCTCTCTTTCCCTCTTCCATTTTCTCTGCGGCGGCAGGCCTGAGTGGTACGCCGGTGGACAAGGAAGGAGCGAGGAGCAAGGAAGCTGGCTCCCAGGCCCAGAGCCACGCTCTTGCAGCGCCCCTCACGCCCTCAGCCTCCAATCCGCGGGAAAGCGCGGAGGAGGAGGGCGCAGAAGGTTATGAGTAGCTTGAGCTTCAGAAGGCCCTCGTGCTTTTCGCGCTTGGGCTCTCTACCTTGGAATGCCATTTGTTTGGGTACCAACGTGGTGTATTGGGCCAGCGAGGTGCTCGTACTCTTCGCCCACGCTGACCAGATCTCGATTGTCTCCCAGCTTGGTGCGTTTTGGGGCCTTTGGGGTGGGAGGCCCTTCTGTAGCCATCCTGGAGACCATCGAGCCAAAAAGAGGTGGTCTTTCGGCCCCCCCCCGCTTGGAGCCTGAACAGTCGTGTTGCGCTCCTGGGGGTCTCGGGGCCGTCTTGGACCGCTTCTGGGCATCTCTTGGGGACGATTCCAGGGCGATCGTGGAGCCATCCTGAGGCCTCAGAAGCCCATCGGGAGCGAGAAAGCGAGAGGTCAGCACTCCATTTGGAGCCCATGTCTTCTTCTACATGATCTGGGCCTTTCGGGGGTATCCCGAGGAGGCGCCACGGCCACTTGAAGCCGTCTCGGGGCCGTTTTGGATGCAAGGTGGTGCCCGCCTGACCCATTTGGGGCTGTCTTTATGTCGGGCGTGTCCCCCTCTACAGGGGGATTTTCGACGAAAAATAAAACATACACCAAAAATACCCCCAAATGGTAAAACAATATTCAAAAAATAGTCTCCAGACTATTTTTAAAATTTTGTTTTGATTATTTTGTGGGTATTTTTTTTATTTTTCGTCGAAAATCTCCCTGTAGGGGGACAGGCCCGACCTAAGGCTACCTTGTGGGCGCCACCCCCCGATCTGCCCCCTCCAGTGTTATCTTAGACTCCCGGGGCGGGCGGAGAGCGAGAGGGGGACAGCCAGGCAGCTCACACGCTGTCTCACCCCCGGCAAGCGGGTGTCGACGGTGCTGCGCTCGGGGGCGGCAAAGAGGGGGGTGACGACTGGGGGGGGGGGGATATCATGGCGGGGGCCATGATACTTCCTCAGATTTCATGGCGCCTCTTCTTATTCCATTACATCCCTGGCCCCCCCCCTGGGCCGCGCATATGCTGCCGGTCATGATTTGCACCCCCCCCTCTTGGACACCCCCATCTTTGCCGCTCCCGATACGCGCGGCCCCCTGGCCGCAACTCACGAAGGCCGTCACTCGTTGTTTGTGCGCCCAGTCGTCAGCAGTATCTGAGTCACACGCGTTTGATACTTGTCATAGTCGTACCAAAGCACTCCACTCGTGCGCATGCCCCTTTGCTTACACACCAGCTCTCAGTCCAGGTGGCAGTCAATTGTGTAAGAGAGCTGCCCTTGACATGCTGGACGAACTCGATTGACACACGATGCTGAGAAAGCACCGGGCTTTGCATGGGAGGGATTACCGTGCAACAAGCGTGGTGTGTTTGTGTGCCACAGGTGGTCATTATTATCGTTGTGTATGTACGAAGCAGGTATGATGTCCAATACATGTCGGTTGTGCTTCGTTGAGTCTGAGGTGGGTGGTCGCCGACATCGTTGTGCTGTTGCCGATGCCCGAAGGCGCCGTGGCCAAGTGCTTGCTTCCTTTGCCATCGGTTGCGAAAGATCCCGAAACAGAGTTCATCGTAGTGGCACAGTGGCTGTAGCCCGCACGTCGGAGGGAAGGTGGTACCATGGACTGGCGCACAATGGCCAGAGACTAGACACGAAGTACAGACTGGCAATGTTGATCGCAGTGAGTTGTTGTTGCCTGGCCTCCCACTACTTTTCAAACTTAGAGTTTACCGACCTTGACGTGTTCACAGTTGGCCTGAAGAGCCCAGCTGAGTTTCTGACGTGTTTGGAAAATTTGCTATTACATCTAGGGTCTCTTAATTTGAGCCTCCAGTGTATTTGTCGGCCCCCTCGAATTCGTCTCTCCTCCCCCTTCCTCCTGCTCATCCCTCTCCTCCTCCTCTTCCTCCTCCTCCTCCTCCTCCTCCTCCTCCTGCTCCTCCTCTTCCTCCTCGTCCCCCTCCTCCTCCTCCCCCTCCTCCCTGGTTTATCCCGTAGCCATTTTGGCTCAAGGCTAAACGTGTGATGGTAAAGCGACATACCGAATCACGACTAACTTGCGGTGCGTCCGTGGCATGTGCCCGAGATATTGTGGCACCACGTCTAGGTTGTGCGTTGGACCGTGGTCTCGCCTTGTTTTTGTGAGCTCCTGCTGGAGCATTCTTTTCATCCTGTCCTCATGTCATGGCGGTCTCGTGACCCGTGGACGCAGGCGGCGGGGCAACGTGGTGCTGGCAAGTGGCACCAGCAGCCGCGCCAGGGTGGCAGGGCGCGTCGCCGTGCCACCTATTCTGCCTGCGGTTCCTGCGGCCGCAGGGACTTCGACCATTTCGGCAATTGGGTGTGCAGCAGGTGCGGGGGCGAGTACCTTCCTCCAGGTGGTGTTCCGCATGGCGGTGCCGCTCCTGGCGCTCCCGATCATGGTGATGTTGATCCCTTCGCTGCCGAGCTCCGCTCTCTCGCGGAGAATTACCCCCACATGGCGGACGCCCTTGGCCGGATCAAGGCAACCCCGCCGCCACCCGTTCTTGTCGCTCATGAGCTTGCGCCGGAGAACTCCATCGAGAAGCGCAGTTTGGCGAGGCGCATTGAGCTGTTTCGCGAGGTGGAACAGTCGAGCCGTAAAGAACGCGTGGCCAAGCCGATGCACAACAGAAGCACGAAGCCGTCGTCCGACACCGTGAGGCGCTCGCGAAGGCGGAGGAGAAGCACACCGAGTCTCAGCGGTGGGGTAAGTCTGCCACTGACGCCGCGCAGTGGAAGGCGATGCTGGCGCGGGCGAAGGCCCAGGCCAACGGTCGTGGGACAACAGCAGTGAGGTTATTGACGTTGGCGATGCTGGTGGCCCCGAGGGTGCTTGTCGGCCGAACGCGAGGCTGGCGCCCTCGGTGCGCGCGTCGCGGGCCGCCGTGGCGGCTTTTGTTTCCGTATGACCGTGTCAGTATGACCGTGTCAATGAGGCCGTGTCAATGCGACCGTGCCTGGGCCGTGTCAATGCGACCGTGCCTGGGCCGTGTCAGTTGCGTGATCGCTGCTGAGGCTGGACTCGCAACGCCCAGGACTCCGAGCGGTGCAGCGACCTGGCGCAGGAGGCCGCTGAGTCCCGGGCAAGCAAGCGTGCCCGCCATGTTTTCGCGCAGCAGTCCAAGACATTATTGTGCCCGTTGGAGGCGGGCATTTCCTTTGGCCAGTCAGCGTGTGCAGGGAAGTGGCGCGCGCGCAAGAAGTTTGAACCATTGCAGTTGGTTTTTGCTAGTACCACGTCGTGGTCCACGCATGCGAAGGGATATGTGGTTGAATCGATCACCAAGGCTGATGCTTTTCTGGCTGCTGAACACAGTGTGCGGGATGGTGCTCTTCCGGGTGCTAAGAAGGATGCTCGTGCCATGGAGTGGCATCTGTATTTCCAGGCTGCTTTGGGCTCTCCTGGAGGCGGCGCGCATTGTGGAGTCAGCAGATTGGCCCAGAAAGGGCCCTGCTTTCCACAGGTTCCTGAATATGTGCCCGTGTGTCTCGCCGATTGGGTCTGGAACTTGTTGGCTGTTTTTGGAGCTCAAGCGACATGGTTATTATGTTGCTGTTGGAGAATGTTATTTTGTGCCGTCTATTGGTATGGCGGGTAGAAACCTGAATCGGATCCGTGATACGTGTCAGTTTAATCGGACTCTGACGATCCCTTTCTTCCTCTTGGCTGACGTTGACAATGCTCCTGAGGTCCATGGGGAAGCTTGTTGGTTCGAGTTGACTAGATCACGCCCGATTGTACCGCCAAACTTTGAGTTCACTTGTGATGCAGGTGAGACCACCGTCGGCTATCTCGTGTACTCCCAGGATTTCGCGTACTTTGTCTCTCTGTCGGCGGTCCTGGACGCGCCGCTGAAGACGCATGCTTGTCTCAAGGCAGTTGTCGGCGAGGACGTGATGTCCCTGGCCGTGCTTCGTAGGGTCAAGTGCGCGTCTTTCCCTCCTTCCATGGGTCCTGATAACACTTGGTTGCGCTGTTGTTATTGGGCTGTGGAAGATGATTCGGAGGCTGTGATCCCTGAAGATGTCTCGGAGGCTTTCATGGAGCATTCCGCTGAGCAGCTGCCCCTGGACCTCTCTCGGGCGTACGCGTTACGGTCCAGGGCTTCTGAGTGCGTTTTCATGTCCAGGGCGCGCGCGGCTGTTCGACCGGATCATGTGTTGGGACTCAGCCCGGTGCTCAAGACCTCAGGTTCGCTTGGGAGACTTGGATGTCAGAAACAGAGTTTCGCGCGCATGTGCGTGCGCTTCTGGTCCCTGCTCCATTCCCGACCGCATAGTATTTGGTAATGTTTTAGGAAAGCCCCCGTTTGCAGGCGCCCCCTTGATCTGCGGGCTCTGCTGCGACACCTGTCGGGCCAGCCGCAGGTTCACCCGGGGCCTCCCCACGGGCCCGCTGAAGCCTGGTCGCGGGCGCTCGCCAGCATCTCTGATTGCGCGGGCGCGGTCCGCGAGCTGGTCGTTCAGGCCGCGCTCGTTTGCAAGCGGGCATGGGTCGCAGCTCAAGCGGGGGCGGAGGCTGGGAGTCGCGAGTGGGTCCGCACTAGTCTCCCTGGAGGTGCCCCAACGCTTTTTGCGCGGCGTAAGTCGGACGACAGGGCGACGGTTCAGCAGTTGAAAGGCTCCGATGGGATTGCGCAGACCCCCTTCAGAAATCACGAAGCATCGGGGGCAGTTCTGGGAGAGTTGGTGGACCCCCGAGAGTGATCGAATTGCGCTCCTCCACGGTGCCGGCGGGGAGTTGGGAGCGACGGCCCAGCCTGCCGCCCCGCGAGCTCCTGAGCTCGAAGTTCGCGATCTTGTTCGAGATTGTCATTGCTTGTCTGATGCAACCGCTAGTGGAGTGGATCGATGGCCCCCCGAGGCCCTTGCGCACGGCTCTCTGCCCGGGCGCGCGCTTGACGGGGCCCTTCAGATCTTCGAGCGGTTCGAGCACGAGCTCGCCCTTCCCGGTCAGCGCCTGGCCCAAATCATGGCGACGCCTCCCCCCCCCCAAAAAAAAAAGCGTTTATAATGGGCGCGCGGTGTCTAAGTGTTCCACGCGCCATCGTGCACGCGCGCGCGGGTTCATCTGCCTTGCAGAGTGCTCGGCATAGGACACTCTGCTACGAAGTTGCCTCGCACGTCGGTTTCGAGCCCCTGGTGGCGCATTGGGACATGGGGCGCTTGTCTGACAGCGCGGTGGCCCCGCTGCTCGCGCAGCTCGCTTTGAAGTTGGACTACCCGCCGCAGTTGCAACAGTTAGGCCTCGTTGTGCGCGCGTGCCCCCGCGTTTTGCCCCCGTGCTCCCGTGGGTTGTTCCAAGCTTTGCTGGGCGCGCGCAGTCTACGCCGTGGGTGGAGGCCTTATTGTATGGCGTGTTGCACCATGCGCTCTGGCATGCGCCACGCATGAATGCGTCGTCGCACGCCGATGATGTCACGCAGTGCGCCCAGGGCACTATTGAACATGCTATGTCCGTTGCTCCTGCCGCCGTCCTCTCGTTTTGCAAGGACGTCACTGCCATTGGATGTCGCGTCTCTGTGAATAGCGCCGCGATTGCAACCTCGTTTGAGTTGCTGAGGCAGGTCAGCGCCGAGTTCGACCGACTTGGGGTTCCTGTCGAGGTTTCGGAGGCGGCCGAGGATCTGGGAGCGGTGTCTACGGCTGGGAGGAGGAGGTGCGTGTCCAGAGCTCGGCCGCGTAGGAGGACGCCTTTTAGGAGAGCTCGTCAACTGCAGTGTTTGGCTAAGCTATGCGGTAGGCCTCGCAACATATTCGCCTGGAGTGAGGCGCGGGGACCTGGGGCCATAGCGCGCCTGGGCTACCCCCGTCTGAAGTTCCTGTCCGGGCGCCTGCGGCGGAGTGATCGGGGCATTGGTCCCCCGGTGCCTGTGCGTCTACTGTTCGCCATCAGTGCGCCGACGACCCCGCGCGCCGCTTGCGACGGGGGCAGCTTTGGGATTTTGCGGGGATATGGAAGCAACTCTCTCCTGGGCTGAGATCTGGCGCGGCTCGGACGTCGACCTCGGTGAGGGATTAGCTGATGGGCGCGAAGCCCAATCGGCGCTGGTCTCTAGTGAATGGCTCCACTTCTGCGATTTTCGCCACGCTTCTAGATTCAGGATGGGCGCCTGATTCTCCCGCGAGGCGGGCCAATCCAACGGGCATGATCGACCCCGAGGACATTGGTTTCGAGATTGTCTTGGAAAGATGTGCGAAGCAAGTTGTTTCAAGGTTCCTCTGGGGTAAGGCAGCAAGAAATTTCTGCGGGGTTGGTTTGGATGGCGGCGTTGATTTAACGGTGTTTCGACGTATCCATGGGAAGTTAGTTTCTGGAGATGCCCATCAAGATGCAGCCATGCTGCGTTGCATCGTGGTGGGGGGGGGGATGCTGGCCCGAAGCACGGCTTCGGCAGGCTGGCTATTTCTCATCCGGCGTTTGCCGCGCTGCGGAGCAGGGCGAGAGACTATGATTTATGGGGCGGTGCATTGCCCGTGCA